ATCTTACGTGGGAGAAAACCCAAATAACCAAAGATCTATCTATATCTATATCTATATATATGCAGGTCTTGGCGTGTTCGGGTCTTTTCCCATGTAAGATTGAGAGTATCTTGGCAATGTTTCAACAAGGTCCCACTCGCCATCTTCAGGTTGGTGCTTTCGGCTTCGTGCTTGTGCGAGCAAAGCATGATTGGAGCTGCTAAATATACTGGTGGGGAGGTTGGCTGTGCTGTCATTTCTTGATTGGTCGATGGATTTGATGTTTGCAGATTGAACACCGAACCCAAAATAACGCATGACACCACCACCATTCTCCCTCACCAGACTCAAACCCAAACCCATCCCATAGATGAAAGACTACCACCATCCAGAAACCAGACCACAGCTGCAGCACCCACTTCTATAACATTATATGAGGAAAGGGGGAAGTCATGTTTATATATTTCCTTTTCTGTTAGCTTATTCTTATTTGTCTTTCTTTTCTATTTCTCTAATTTCTTTCTTTCCCACATCTTCTACATTTTCTTTTTATTCATCTATGTTTTCAGTTTCTATAAGTTTTTATTTTTCTAATTGTAATCTTTAATAAAATTACTATTAAAATAGATCTGCATAAATCCTAAAAGCTTAGATCTAAGCCAAGTTTGAGCAGAAAATTTAATAATGTTTCCAAGTAATAGAATGGAATTTCCAATGGAAATACCGTTACTTGATAGGTTTTTAAAAAGCTATCGTATGGATGAAAGAAAATGAAAACGAAAAACACTTACAATCTTTCAAGTTTGGGGAGATGGGTGAATGATTCTGGCTCCAATGTTTCAATTTGGTTAAAGTGCAGATATCTGTTTAAAAGTTAGAGAGAGAAAAAATAAGAGGATATAGAAAAAGAAATAACATGATGATGATGATGATGATGATGATGATGATGATGATTGATGATGATGATAATGCAAAGTAAAACCTATTTTTAAAAATATTCAAATAAAGCTAGATCCTAGCCTCAGAGTTTTGCCTGAAAAGCAGTGATATATTACAAAGACTACCTCATATTTATGTCATTCAGCACAAATTTATTATAATTAACAAACATCACCAATATCTTGAGAATTAAGCTTACATATTAAAAATAATGGCAAAAGATAACATATTATCAATACTTTATATTTTATGTATGAATAATTTTAATGGCTGATAAATATATTCTGCCCATTGAGATAAACAAGAAACTTAACTGTATGACTGGGATTTCATATCATATTGTTGTTGTTTGCTTAATTATTACTGAACAATCTCCAATTGTTTGGGTTAACGCAGCCAGGTTTTCAAATTACAACTGTCTTCCCACAAAGTGCTAAGCCAAAACCAACTAAATTGGCGTTGTGAATCAGATGTACATTTCTTCTCTAGTCAGAGAGCTCAGTTTAAATATGCTTAAATATATAAACCCAATTCTTCATTGCATAGAACATAAATTATACATAAGATTTACATATTCAAAACAACAAAAAGTAATCACGTATAGGAAAATAAGAGCCATGGTGGCGCAATGGTTAGAATGCAGTTCTGCAAGTTAACTCTGTCCATGGCCAGGAGTTCAATCCTGACTTGCTCAAAGTTGCCTCAGCCTTCCATCCTTCTGAGATTAGTAAAATGAGGGCTGAGATTGTTGGAGGCAATAGGCTGCCATTGTAAACTGCTCAGAGAGTACATTAAAGCATTATGGAGTGTATAAAAGTCTAAGTGCTATTGCTAGGCTATTGCAATAAAGCAAAATGTGGAATATAAGCTATGAATTGCAGTTCATCTCTATGGGATGAAGAGCTATGTTCCTATTTTGGTGGCTATGATGACAATTTTAGATATTATACCCAAATAGGGTGGGAAAAATCTGTGAAAAAAGCATGGAAGGGAGGGTCAATCACTTGTCCCACCCCCAAAAGTTTTAAGCTCTGCTTTTCTTGTCCTAATCTCACTAGGTTGAACATGCATGACTGAAAGGCAATTGTGCTCACATTTAGTTTAGGCTGCTACAGAAATCATAGGTTCTTAGCTAGTAGGAACCAAAGACCCCTTAGGATTCTTCTTACATTTAAACAATCACAAATAAAATCCCAACTCTTTCTGTTCACTACGGGGAAGTCCAAAGGTTTAGGAAAAGAAGCTGAAATTCCCATATCACATCTGTAGGACACCTGGACAGGTAAAAGAGGAGTCTACTGAACCTTCAAAAGTTTCTTCCTAGTACTGTCACTTAAGTGATATTGGCTGCAAGTCTGGTATACTGGTTTTCTATTCTCAGAAGAGCAAAAAAGGTAAATCCAAAGTACAAAAATATCATGAAAATTTGCGAACAGTAAGGAAAGATATGCAAAAGAATGAACTAAATATTACGCATAGCAAATATCTATTTCCAAGTCTGTGCGGCTGAAATAACAAGAATTCAGGGATGCTTACAGAAGCAAGGAAGGATGCTTAATTACTTCCATTCAATCTTTACTTCTATATTACTTGTTAATCATTTTTCTTCAGGGTTTGCTACTAATGGAGAATTTGCAAGTTTCCACAGGGGATATAGAAAGATTAGTTTGCAGTTCTCCTCTGCCTGTTGTATCCTGCCTCAACTATTATAAGGGATATGTCTCAGCCTACTTCTCTGGAAAAATGAGAGAATATTTCAGCAAGCTCCATAGCAGAACCATCTTGTATTTTAATAAAAAAATATGTACACAGTGAAATAGATTGCGGGGGGAGGGTTGTTAATCTTAAGAGTCCTCCATGCGACACAACAATTTTTGTCATCTCTATACTAATTCTATGAAACAGTTCAAGCTATATTCAAATTTACAATTTTTTTACTGGTATCCTTATTTGAGTTCCACCATAGATCGGCCTGAAGTGTAGAAGATGTAATGGCAAATTGAAAGTTTATTAAATAGGCCCTAACATCAGAAACTACAACCTGAGGTACATTTTAGGACACAATCAAATATTTGCACATTTCTGAACTGAAGATCGGATTCAAAATATCTTATTAAATTCATGTTACCATATAAAGATGCTGTGACAGAGGGAAAGAAAAGTGATATATTAATTTCAATTTGGCTTCTTCATATCTTCCTGAAAATTGAAGAAGGGAAGGAATGATGAAGAGGTCAAAATAAGCAGCAACTTTCTTATGGAAAAGTCTTTGTATTCAGGCACTTTGAAAACGAAAGATTCACAAAGAACATTTGCCTTTCCAATCATTTATGAATTTATTTCATTTATTCCATGATTACTAAGTGAAAGTGAATAAACTCAGGAAGGAAGTTTTGTAATAATTGAGAACAATGAATATCAAAACATTTCTTGGTCAGTAAACATTCAATAGAATAAATTCAGATTCTATCAAATGCTGTTTCTGAAACGTTCTATTAAGCTCTTACATGCAATTTAAAGTACTATCATGCATATTTAAAGATTGTATTATTATTTTCCAAAAGCTGAAAAAATCCAAATGGAAAAAAAGGGATTTGCTTTGAATAATGAGCATATTTTTCAAGTGTAGCAAAAAGCATACACTGTTTTTTCCTTTAAACTAAGTATCACAGTCCATGCCAGAATTAAGCGTCTGGGATTCTATTACAAAGAAAATGAGGTTGGTAGATCTGAGAACAACCTCATGAGAATATCGCTGGAGTTAAACCACTCATGCTTAAAAATGTATTCATGGCAAATCTGTTAACTATTAGCAATATACACTGCTCAAAAAAATAAAGGGAACACTTAAACAACACAATGTCAATCACACTTCTGTGAAATCAAATTGTCCACTTAGGTAGCAACACTGACTGACAATCAATTTCACATGCTGTTGTGCAAATGGAATAGACAACAGGTGGAAAGCATAGGCAATTAGCAAGACATCCCCAATAAAGGAGTGGTTCTGCAGGTGGTGACCACAGACCACTTCTCAGTTCCTATGCTTTCTGGCTGATGGTTTGGTCACTTTTGAATGCTGGCGGTGCTTTCACTCTAGTGGTAGCATGAGACGGAGTCTACAACCCACACAAGTGGCTCAGGTAGTGCAGCTCATCCAGGATGGCACATCAATGCGAGCTGTGGCAAGGTGGTTTGCTGTGTCTGTCAGCGTAGTGTCCAGAGCATGGAGGCGCTACCAGGAGACAGGCCCGTACATCAGGAGACGTGGAGGAGGCCATAGGAGGGCAACAACCCAGCATCAGGACTACTACCTCCGCCTTTGTGCAAGGAAGGATAGGAGGAGCACTGCCAGAGCCCTGCAAAATGGCCTCCAGCGGGCGGCAAATGTTCATGTGGCTGCTCAAACGGTCAGCAACAGACTCCGTGAGGGTGGTATGAGGGCCCAAGGTCCACAGGTGGGTGTTGTGCATACAGCCCAACAACGTGCAGGATGTTTGGCATTTGCCAGAGAACACCAAGATTGGCAAATTCGCCACTGGCACCCTGTGCTCTTCACAGATAAAAGCAGGTTCACACTGAGCACATGTGACAGACGTGACAGAGTCTGGAGATGCCGTGGAGAACATTTTGCTGCCTGCAGCATCCTCCAGCATGACTGGTTTGGCAGTGGGTCAGTAATGGTGTGGGGTGGCATTTCTTTAGGGGGGCGCACAGCCCTCCATGTGCTTGCCAGAGGTAGCCTGACTGCCATTAGGTACTGAGATGAGATCCTCAGACCCCTTGTGAGACCATATGCTGGTGCGGTTGGCCCTGGGTTCCTCCTAATGCAAGACAATGCTAGACCTCATGTGGCTGGAGTGTGTCAGCAGTTCCTGCAAGATGAAGGCATTGATGCTATGAACTGGCCCGTCCATTCCCCAGACATGAATCCAATTGAGCACATCTGGGACATCATGTCTCGCTCCATCCATCAACACCACGTTGCACCAGACTGTCCAGGAGTTGGGGGATGCTTTAGTCCAGGTGTGGGAGGAGATCCCTCAGGAGACCATCCGCCACCTCATCAGGAGCATGCCCAGGCATTGTAGGGAGGTCATACAGGCACGTGGAGGCCACACGCACTACTGAGCCTCATTTTGACTTGTTTTAAGGAAATTACATCAAAGTTGGATCAGCCTGTAGTGTTTTTTTCCACTTTAACTTTGAGTGTAACTCCAAATCCAGACCTCCATGGGCTGCTAAATTTGATTTCCATTGATAATTTTTATGTGATTTTGTTGTCAGCACATTCAACTATGTAATGAACAAAGTATTTAATAAGAATATTTCATTCATTCAGATCTAGGATGTCTTATTTTTGTGTTCCCTTTATTTTTTTGAGCAGTGTATTTTATATCAATGAACTATACCAAACTTAGGAAGACTTTAATGCTGAAATATTTCTTCAATTTACATTGTGTGATACATTTTCATGTGGTATTACAAGGAATCATTCTTATTTGGTTCTTTCTGAGAATGCACAGGGAAAAGGAAATTGCTTGCTTCAACGCATGCCAAGTCCTGCTTTGTGGCTCCTCAAAAGCCAGGGTTTGTCAGCAAAGGATAATCCTATGATTTTAGCTTCTTTAAAGGGATGCTAAGGTAGGACAGATAGCATGTTAAGCAATATATGGTTTATTGATCATGCTACTGGATGGATCCAAGCAAGAAAAAATAGGATGTCTGCACCATAATAGAGTTTATTAAAATACACATAAGTCCTACGTAAACTATGAAATTCTTCGAAATACATATACTATTTTGACGATGATAGCAACAATCCTATTTTGTGCAAATGTAGAATCCATGTTTTAAGAAATATCAATAATGTAAAAAAATATACTCCAAAAATATCTATGATTATTCCTTGGCTGGTTTAGCA